AGTTCTAAGGTAATTATAGTTACTCAGTAACTTTCATCTCAGAGCGAACTGATTAAGGAGGCTAAGAAATGTGGTGGCTTCCCTTTTGGTCAAAATCAGTGACTGACCTGAAGGTACCTCTGTCCTCAAACCTTTAAACAGAATCTGCATTCAAAAGCACGGCTTAGGAGCTGAAACAAATTGCTGTATCCCTTAAGTACTGAGTCTAAAAGGGACCCCAGAAACACACACTGATCCAGAGCTACAGATGTGCTAAGAACTTCATGTGCTCCATCTACTAAAGAAAAGCAAATGCTAGTACAAATAACTGCAACATTGGATTCATCTTGCCTTGGGCATATTTATCCAGGGTATTGCCATTACATCATTCGCATTAGGCCTTTATTATCTGCTATTTTAGATCTTAGAAGCTGTTACAAGCCCTAGTCAGAGGTCAAGATGCTGTTGAACTTCAGATCTTTCTGAAAGAAGAGCATAATTCTGCCAACAGCAGAGCAATGTTAGATTTACAGCAGTGTAATGTCATACAAATCATGAGAAAAAATGTAATCTAAAGTATATTTATTTTTAAAAATGAGGTTTAGTTGCCAAAAATATAGACATTGCACGTTAAAATCCACATCGAAAAGACTACTGTACCTTCATCTTTGAGAACTAAATAAGGTATTCTGGGGCTTTTTTATGCTATCAGAAAAGACCACAAATTATTTAAAAACAAACTTCCACCATCCAAATAAAATAATACCGAAATATCTTGCTGTAGTTTGGAGTAACTGCATGAAACATGACTCACATGTTTAGAAATTCTCCTTTATCTTTCCTCTGTGTGCAGCACTGATCTTCATGAACTGTTTGTCACAGTGCATGATTACATTCCTTTCACCTAAACTGTGTCTACATATTTTAAATTTCTATTTCCAGAAGCTGATTGTTGTTGAGTGTTTCAGTTTGGTTTGGAAGAAATCTGCATGCAGTCACTTGGGTGGTGGACTTCAGTGTGCTTTATGAGAAATTTTGCACTCAGACAAAATGCAGACTCAGAAGAGCAGAGTCTACCAGAAGACTCTTGCTGACCTGTATTTTGATTGTCGCTGATAGAAATGTTTGAGGCAAAAATACAGACCATCTCCTTGAACTCAAGTTTTTCATAAAACACTGCATTCCTTCTGAGGACCTCACTTCCAGACAAACAGTGTTCCAGGGCAAGCAGGAGATGGCTCTTGCACTGCTCACCAGTGGGAAGGCCCTTGTGATTGTGAGCAGAAGCCAAGATATCTGACAAGTGCCTGTCAGTCCAAGTACAGTCTGTATTCTTCTGCTGGAGAACCCCCACCACCTCTGGCCTCAAGGCTTCAAAACCCAAATTCTGTTTAGTGTTATGGCTGCTATCTAACCTAGAGCACTTAGAAATCTCATCTACTTACGGCAACTCATAAGCACTCCGCTTGCCATCCAGGCAGGGAATGGGTTTTGGTTTAAATGAAAAGGTGCAGTTACATCATCTTGCACAACAGGTCCCTGCTCTGTGTCTGAGCTGGGCCAAGTGAGTCCTCTTGAGCTGGAAGAACATGGAAAACTTGGAATTGCAGTAATAAAAAAAATATTATAGCATGTTATGCATAATAACAACACATTCTAGGTTGCTCCCTGCATGGAATCTCCCAGGTATACCTGACAACAAAGGATAGAGAGATCTGAATACTAATAACAGCTGGAGGAGGGGGCCCTTAATAGTATTTTGGCTAATTGCCAGGTTGCCTGCTCTCGAAAAATTTGCCTGTGCTGAGCTAGACACATTTTTCATGTGTAGAAAATTAGGTTGTTGGTAGGACTTTATATTTTCCTAATGCTTCCTACAGTCAACTGTGTGAAGGTTCACGATAGCCATGAGATCTGTGTTTCTAGCTCAAAGGCCTTCAGGCCTTCTTTGAAAAACTTGGAAAATCATAGCAGTTGAACAGGTACCGGAAAGAAATTGCAATTTTGGAGAGCTTCAGATGTAAACTTAGAAAATGAAGAAGTATTTTTGTATTTTGTGTGTTTGGGTTTTGGTTTTTTGTTGTTGGGGGGTTTTTTTGCTTGTTTGCTTGTTTGCTCTATTCTTCTTTTTTTGGTAAATACAGGTGACTAACTCAGGGCCTCTTTTCTCCTACCCTGAAGGAAGAACAAAGTCTCTGATGATTTGCTTGTTCAAAAGGTCTGCACTGATTTTACCTTTAGGTCTGTTCTAACATTTCTCATTGTTTCATTGTAAGCATTTTCTGTGGTAATTAGACTGTAATAGCATAATCCCTGGTGGCCTTCCTGGAGTGTCTGGCCTCTCTGGGTTGAGAAAGCTCTGCTTAGTGACAACATATTTTCCTCTAAGTGGGAAGGGGAAGAGTTGATGTTGTGAATGGTGTCCTGATTATGATGGAAAATCTCTTGAAAGAGGGAAGTTTTGCAGCATTTCCTAAAAGTGATTCAGGCTACATTTGTCTGATTTCCTCTGGAAGCTCACAGCAACCAAGATGGTGCATGTTTATTTTGTCTCTGGCTGCTTCCTTCTGGACTCTATGGTCTGCATTGTCCCAGAGGAACACAGATATCTCTGTGATTTGTAGATGCAGGTGCAGGCATTTTTTGTAGCTGGGCACAGATACATTCAGAGCTTTGAAGTCCAAGACCTTGAACTGGTGGTGAAAGCAGATTAAAAATCCTCTTTAGCTTCCTAAAATGCAATGCCTAGAGTCATCTGACCTGTTGTGTGAGGCAAAGAAAGAAAACTAGCTTTTTAAAGGCTTCTAAAAAATGAAGTAGAGATTTGATATTTTATCTTGATTGCATTTCCTCTGAATGATTTTGACAAATCATTCAGTGATTTGAAATTAGAGTCATTTGTGAATGACTCTAATTTCAAGGCTCTTTCTTGGGTTATAACAAAATTAAGACAGCCTTTCAAAGTATGGCCACAGGCAGAGGAAGAACAGATGTGTCCAGGGGAGAAATACAGCCATCCCATGGGAATTAACAGAATAGAAAGGCCTCGGAAATCCTGGTTTTGGAAGCTTGTCCCCAGACAAGGGATTTCTGCAACAAGAACTCAGGCCCTAAAAACTTAACTTGCAACTGCAGAAGCTTTTCCTTCTCTATAAGGAAAAGGAATGGCTTGAAGTGGGGCTTGGCTAACTGAGCTTTCATCTTGTGCCCCTGGACACATTCCGTGCCTCAGTTTTTCTCTGTGCAGAATGGAAGGGTTGCTATTAATGGTCTTTAGAAAGCTTATTTGAGATTTACTTGTGAAAAGGGCCATAGTGACTGGGGGGTGGTGGTGTGTTCCTGGTAGAATCAGTGTCATCTGAAGTCAGAGGGAACCTTACACAGAATCTGAATCAGGTTTACAGCCCAAGTCCTGCTTTACAAACACCCCAAGACTGAATTTAATTGCTGTGTTAGCATGGTGCCAGTGAGGTGCAGTGCTCACAAACAGCATGGTTGCAGTTGGTTGGTGTCATGACACTCCCAGTGCCAGAGGAGCCCCATTTCTGGGGTGCTGGTTTGGAGGCTCATCCCTTCCTACCTCTATTCAGCCTCCTTGTGTTGAGGAGTGAGGCAAGAACTGGGATGAACAAGTCATTCACCCTTCCAGCATTACAACTGTCACACATACAAGGCTGGTTTTATATTCTTGGCAGCTGTGATTTTCCCTCTGTAACACTTCCATGCAAAGTGAGGGGGTTTGCCACTTTAGTTTTGCTTCCCAGGGAAATGGACGAGGACTCCCCATCTGCCACATGAACAAATGAAAATGGTGACATTTGACTATTTCCCTGTGGTTAGTGAAAACTTCTGAAATTCTCCTTTCTGCTGGTTTTTGGGTTGTGAAAGATTTTTCCCGATAGGTGCAAAGAAAATTAAACAAACAAAACCAACACCCCAACCAGCTGGGTACTTACAAGCATTGATTCTCGTGTTTGTTTTTCTTTCTTTCTTTCCTTCTTTTTTTTAAGTGACTGATCAAAACTACCCCTTGAAGGCAGTTGTGGGATCTGGGGCAGAGCAGGGCAGGGCAGACTGTCCCATCTGAGTTGCGGGGAGTGTCAATCTGCTGGAGGGTAGGAGGGCTCTGCAGAGGGATGTGGACAGGATGGATAGATGGGCTGAATCCAATTATATGATGTTTAACAAGACCAAGTGCCGGGTCCTGCACTTTGACCACAACACTACACACAGTTCTACAGGCTGGGGACAGAGTGGCTGGAGAGCAGCCAGGCAGGAAGGGACCTGGGAGTTTGGATTGACAGGAAGCTGAACAGGAGCCAGAGTGTGCCCAGGTGGCCAAGAAGGCCAGTGGCATCCTGGCCTGGATCAGGAACAGTGTGGCCAACAGGTCCAAGGAAATGATTCTTGCCCTGGACTCAGCGCTGGTGAGGCCACACCTCGAGTGCTGTGTCCAGTTCTGGGCTCCTCAGTTCAGGAAGGACATGGAGGGGCTGCAGCAAATCCAAAGAAGAGCAACAAGGCTGGTGAAGGGACTGGAGCACAAGTGCTGTGAGGAGAGGCTGAGGGAGCTGGGGCTGTTCAGCCTGGAGAAGAGGAGGCTCAGGAGAGATCTGACAGGAGGTTGTAGCCAGGTGGGGGTCGGTCTCTTTTCCCAGGCAACCAGCAGTAGGACAAGAGGGCACGGTCTTAAACTGCACCAGGGGAGGTTCGGATTAGACATTAGGAAGAAATTCTTTACAGAGTGAGTGATCAGACATTGTAATGGGCTGCCCAAGGAGGTGGTGGATTCACCGTCCCTGAAGGTGTTTAAGAAGAGACTGGATGTGGCAGTCAGTGTCATGGTCTAGTTGACATGGTGGTGTTGGGTCATAGGTTGTATTTGACGATCTCAGAGGTCTTTTCCAGCCTGGTTGATCCCGTGATCCCGTCCCGTCCCGCCGGGGCGGCGCGGACTCCAAGGCCCGGCATGCGGCGGGGCGCGGCGCAGGCGCAGGGCTGGGCTTGAGTGGCAAGTTGTTTGTTCCAGCGAGCACCAGCTGCTCGGCGCCCTGGGCTCCGCTGCTCCTGCCCGGCTCCGCTCCGCGCCCCGCCGGCCTCCCCCGCCCAACTTCGGCACCCTCCGCTCCCTCATCTCCCAGCCCCCGGAGCCGGGAAGGGGCAGAAGGAATCGAGGGGAGGCGGGGGAGGAACAAAAAAAAAAAAAAGAAAAAAAAAGGCACCGACAATAACAGCCCCCTCCCCCTCCCCATTCAAAACCACAAAATAAACCCCAGGAATAGATGAACTACAAATGAGAAAGAGGAAAAGATGGAACTGCACATCCTAGAGCACAGGCTCAGAGTGGCCAGCATAGCCAAGGAGAGCATCCAGTTGTTTACCTATGGATTAATCAAACTTGCTTTCCTGTCCTCCAAGACGAGGTAGGTGCTGGGGATGGGGCAGTGCGGGGGCGCCCTCCTTGAGAGGGGACGGGGCGTTGGGGACGTACCCTCCTTGTTGCAAGGGGGCTCGGGGCTGCAGGGTACCCTCCTTCCCGCACAGGGGCTGGGGTGGGGGTGTCTGCCTGGCAAGTGAGCACAGCAGCCTCCTTCTTGCAAAGGAGGTGGGTTGATGGGTGCTCTTAAAAAAAACCAACAAAAACCAACCAAACAAAAAAGGCATCCCCTCCTGAGATGGAGGACACCCCTTCTTGCAAGGGGGAAGGGTGTTGAGGTAGGGGACACCCTCCTTCCTGCAAGTGGGCACGGTGCTGAAGGGGGGGACACCCTCCTTGTAACGGGACAGGGTGCCGGGGTGGGGGAGGGCACCCTCCTTGAGGAGTCAGGGCGCTGGGTGAGGGGGGACGCCCCCTCGCCAGAAAGCAGGGGGTCTTGGGCGTGGGGGAACACCTGGGTCTTCCCTCCCTACTCACACCCACCATCCCAGGACTGGGAGATGGTGATGCGGGTCAGCGCTCGAGTCCGGGGTGTCCCAGCCCGGCTTTGGGGCACCCCCGCGGGCAGCCCGGCTGGGCCGGGCCGGGTGAATGGAACAGGTGGGGGCCGAGGGGCCCGGCCGGGCCGGCAACAAAGGCAACAACAGCGGCCGGAGGAGGAGGAGTGGTGGGGTTTTTTCTCGCGCTCTCTGTTTTCTGTGGTTTTTTTGTTTGGTTTGGTTTTTTTTCCCCCCGGTTGTTGTTCCTTGTAGTACTTAAAACGAAGCCTCCACACGCGGGTTTCTTTAAAAGGTGCTTTTCCAGTGCTGCCAAATTGGAGGGAGGACGAGGGGCAGTGCATGCCTTGCACTTGAAAATTATGATATTGAGCAATATGGATTGTTATAGCTTTCAGGAAAAGAAAAAAAAAAATAAAAATGTAGTAGAAGGCACTGTGAGAATATTTTTTTTTTTTTAAGAAGAGGAAACAAAATAGTGTGGACAGTTTATTGAATGTATGTAAGGTGCTAGGCCTGTCACACAAAACAACTTGAATTGTAATCAATCATGTATTCTTCTGTCTTCACTTAGCTTGGTGACTTTGGTCTATACAGAAAAAGAAATGGGAATGTAAATAACGTGACTCAAACTCTTCTTTTTTGTCCAGTCTGATAATTAGCATTTCAGTTTTCTCCCCACATTCATCTTGAATAGCATTCTTGTATGAAGGTGGGAAGTTTTCTTTGGCTGCAGGAAAATAATAAATAGATAATAAATTTACTTTTTATTTCTTAAATTGTTTTATTCCAATCTGTAATTCAATCCTCTCTCTGTTATAATGTTTATGGATGAATGGAGCTATTTGTGATGTAATTTGATCACAGTCCCTTATCTTATGCATTGAAATTTCACTCTGATTTGGGGCTCATCCCATTTGGCTCACCACTGACATTGTTTGCAGTATAAAGTGTATCAGCACCTTGTTTACTGCTGTCCCTGAATACTCCACAGGACATTAAAATAGAAATGTATGACTGAAGAGCCTTTAATGTGTTGTTTTATTGTAATTGAAAGTCACTGCTGATTTTTTAGAAGGACTTGTTGCTCCCCCTCCCATGCTTAAAATGTCACTGTTAACATCAATAGTGAAGTCTTTAAATCTGTCACTCCTAATCCATAGACTGGAGTTTTGGGGGTTGTTTTTCTAGGGTATTATTATTATATTTTATTTTTCTTTTTTAAACTTCAAGGATGGTCCTGTTGTCTTTTTGTTTCACACTAAATTTCGCATCTTCAATGTTAGAGAGCTGTGAAAGGATCAAGGCAGTAAGATAACCCCTTTGGGGTGTGATACCTTGTCCCGCATTTGGGTGCAGCACTTGACAGTTTCATATTGTCTTTGATTGCTGTGGTGTCTGTCCCTTTCCATATACACTGTGAGTATCAATCTTTTCCTTACCTTTCGTGGAATTTTAGTGATCAGGAAGAGTAAATGTTTGTGTAAAAGTTTGTTGGCACGGGAAGCCTCTATTTATTTCCCTTTTGTTTGTTTTATTATTTTTGCAGACAGTAGAGATGCAAGGGAGAGAAGGGAAAGTTTGTTTGTGTCATTCTTAAGACAACTGACAGCACTGAAACCTTGCTTTTTCCCTTGTGCTTTTGCCTGCCCTGATGCAAACAAGGTCCCTGCCCCACAGACCTCTCTGATGAACACCATGTGTATGAGGAAGGTGAGGGTCTCTGGGAGATGTAGCTCCATAAATTTATGATTCCACTGTTTCTTTTTCCTCCTCCTTTAAAAAGTGAATATGCCCAGGAGACAACAACTTTTTATGGGGGTGCAAGAGGGATCTCCCTTCCTGACCACCCTATCTGCAAAGGACCCATTAGGGGATGAAAGGGGAAGGTGGCCCACATCCCTGCTAACCTTTTCTGATGAGATAGCAAAGATGCCAGTTACTTACACCACCTGCATTCTTCCCAGTGAGACCTTAAACGGAGTTTTTACTGATGCTGCAAGGCTACCAGTAAGAAATAATGATTTGAGATCCAAAGGGATGGCAGTGACATCAATATTCTTATGTTGGTTATGCGAGAAACTAGAGTTTTTACATAGCCTCCTGTGAGAAGTGATTTGGAGGGTCTCTTTTATGTTTTTCTTAATCCTCTTGGGAAGAAAATGTAACAAATCTCCCTCTTCATTTGACCTTTTGCTACTCTCAGTCTGCCCTTGTTCATGACATGAGTGTTTTAATTTAGCTTCTGTTACAATAACAGTATTTTTTGTAACAAAGAACAGCAATTTTAAAACTGTTCCGATGGCTGGAAGCAAGACAGCAGTTAACAAGGTGAAGAGGTGAGACCAGTAGTGAATAAAACAGTGAGCTAAACTGAGCTGAAAGAAAAACACTATTAATCATAACTGTGTTAGGCATGACGTTTTTTATGCAAAGTTGCATTAAGAGAGGTGCTTCAGGAATAAATAATAGCGGAACTCCTGAGCAGTTACACTGAGCACTGTGCTCTTGGTGCTCTGCTTGTGTCAGTGCAGACCCGCTGATTCCAACAGGCTCTGCCAGGTACCCCAGTGGAGGAACAGATCCGTGTCATTTTTAGTTGCATGCTGAAGATTTGCACGTGTCTAATCTTTTTGCTGTTCCTGTCATCGTCATTCTGGTGTTTTACTTTGTGTTGGTTGGAGCGTGTTGCTAATAATGTCAGGGTCGTGGGTTCAATCGCCATACAGGCCATTCACTTCAGGGTTGGACTCTGTGATCCCTGTGGGTCCCTTTCAAGTCAGATTACTCTGGGACTCTGTGTCTGACTTGAGGATTTTTACCTATTCAGAAGGTGTGCAGTGTGTTTAGGTATGTAAATATAACAACTGTGTGTGGCTTCACCGTTGCATCCTTCTCCTTTTGCACATGCCTCTGTAAATGTTAGTTCTGGATCCCTTTCCCCACCCACGACGTAGGGCAGCCCAGTTCTAGTTCCGTTTCCATCTGAAGAACCATTGCGACACTTTGAAGGATGGGGAAAGGGAAACTCCAGGGGTTTCTCAGGGGTCTTTTCAGGCCCTGAGCCTGGAGGGGAGAGGTGCTCCCCCCTCCCCCCCCGCACGTGGCCCCATGTCCGGCAGGGAGACAGGTCACAGGACTCGGGCGTGGAGAGGAGGCAAGAGCGAGTTTATTGTTGGGGATGTTACATTTATAGGGTTTAGGAGGATTCACAGAGTAACCAATTAGAAGTCTCAAGGGGCTTACAGAAACACCCAATCACAAGAAGAGGTTAACAAAGACCAATGGGAAACACCTCAGGACACCTTCCCAGGACATTCCTGCATGGATAACATGGGGGGTGCTGGGAAGAAGAAGCATGTGTTTGCAAAGAGACCACCAAAAGCCATTTTAAAACCTGTTTAAACCACAGTTTTCCCATATAATGCAGGTTTAGTGCTACAGTTAGTTCTCTGGGGCGCAGAACTGTGCTCATCTGGGAACTCCCACCTTCAGCCTGTGTGCTGCAGAGCAAGTGGCTTCCCTCCCATCAAAACTGCCTTCGCTCCCTTGGTCAGAGTTAAACTGTCTTGGGACACGTGACACAAGTAACCTGCTTGAAGACTTGATAGACACACTAGTGTGTTGCTATATTCCTGTCTTGATTTTTTTTTTTTTTTCCTAATGGCAAAATATTATGTAACTGCATCTCATTTTAGTGCATAGGAATTAAATCTGAATGGAGGGGTAGGACAGCCTGGGATGATGTTTGCACTGAGCCACTAGTGCATGCAATAGGGAGAAGGAAGGTGAGCCTGACCTTGTCTTTTGAGTGTATATAAAAATATATGGAGAGTCCAGGAGGATAAAGTGGGGTCAGGGTTCTTCCAAGCACTGTATTTTATATGATGTAATTAGCCTGATTTCTGGGTAATGCTTTGGTAGACCCCTGAACATCTGGAGTCAGTGAGTTAAAAAGTAACCTTTCCTGTCTATTTCAGTACCTCATATAAAGATTTGGTGGTAAACAGTGAAATAAAGTAGTTGAGGGAAAAAAGTATATTATTTAAATTGTAATGCTATTCAATTATAACCAGAATGAATTGGAGTGGTTAGTTTGTTCACAGGGCTGGGTGGTTAAAGTAATTGTAGGTCGTTTGTCTGGCATCACAAACTTTAAAAATCTCAGAGGGTTTTTTGTTACTCTTTGGTTTGACATGATCATTAGGTCAACACACTGAAGAGAAGGAACAAGTTCTGTATGTGTAAAGGATGAGATTTTGGTCACAGAAGTTTCTAAGGCTGCCATTCCAAAAGCATCTGTCACTCTTGGTTCTTTTTTAAGATGCTCTGATCTTCTTCTGAAGGTACAGTTTGTGTATATTGGTGACTTGAAGCAGAATTACAGGCACTTTGCAAGCTTGCAGGTTTGGCACTAAATACAGACAGCTGGCCATGCGAGTGAGATGCTTCCCGGAGAAGCTGGTGGAGCCAGGCTGGGCTCTGCCTC